CTTGCATTCCAATCACCAGTGATAATCAACACATCTTAGTAGCATGTTTGGTCGATTTCAAACTGCAGAAATTGGTAAAAATTGCAGTTTCCTCATCTTTGCCTTTGGTGGTTGGTATGTAAATTTGAATAACAGTAGGAGCCCTGGTGGCATAGTGCCTAAGGCATTTGACTGCTAACCAGAAGACTGACAGTTCAAACCCACCAGCCACTCCTTGGAAGGAAGAACGGGCAATCTATTTCCATAGAGATAGTGCCTCAGACACCCAAGGAGGGGTTGCTATGAGTCAGGACTGACTCAACTGGTAGTGAGTTTTGAGTGGGTATTAATTGATCTTCCTTGTAGGAGTTTGGATATTTTCCTATCCCTGACAGCACTGTACTTCAGGATAGATATTGAAACATTCTTTGTGAAGATGAATGTCATGCCGTTCCTCTTCAATTTGTCATTCCTAGCATAATAGATCATATGGTTGTCTGATTCAAAATGGCCAAAACCAGTCCATTTCAGCCCACTAATGCCTAGGATATGGATCTTTATGCACTCCATTTCATTTTGACAACTTCCAGTTTTCCTAGATTCACACTTCATACTTTCCATGTTCCAATTTTAATGGATGTTTGCAGGTGATTCTTCCCATTTTGAGTAGTGCCATATCAGCATGTGGAGCTCCCAAAAGCTTACTCCATCCACATCATTAAGGTCAGCTCTAGTTTGAGGAGGCAGCTCTTCCCCAGTCATATTTTGAGTGCATTCCAACCTGAGAAATTCATCTTCCAGCACTGTATTTGACAGTGTTTCAGGACTATTCATACAGTTCTCCAGTAATATATCATACAGTGTTTCACTGATATTCATAAGGTTTTCACTGGCCAATTCTTTGAGAGGGAGCTCTTGTGGCATAGTGCCTAAGGCATTTGACCACTAACCAGAAGGCTGGCAGTTCAAACTCACTGGCCACACCTCAGAAGGAAGGTTCTGAAATCTACTTCTGTAGTGATTTCTTGGAAACCCAAGGATG